TGGTCTCTCCCAGATTCTGCCTTATGCACCTTTTCCCTTTGCTGATTTTAACTGTATCCTTTTCTTGTAATAAAGTATAATTGTGAGTACAATCATTTTTCTGAGTCCCAGGAAGACTCCCAGCAAATCATTGAAACTGAGGGTGGTCTTGTGACCCTCAACACAGTATCTCAAATTCATCATGGCCCAGACTAAACTTCTGATTCACCCTCTCCCTTCTTTCCCAAGTCTGTTCTCCATCAAACCTTCCCCGTATAAAACTAAGTGCCGTCATGCCCCTTCTAGTTACTCGTTCCAAAGCCCGGGGGTCACATTTGCTTAGTTTACCTTGCACCTCACATCTAATCAATCAGCAAAACAGCAAAGACTGGTATGAAATATTTACAGAAAAGTGCACATATCATAGGCATATAACATGTTGAATTTTCACAATCGGAACACACCTATAACCGACAACCAGAACAAGAAACAGAGCGGGAGGGAGACACATTTCAAGTCATTAGACATTCCACAGGAAACAACTCTCCCGACTTCTGAAAACATAGGTTAATTTTGCCTGTTTTTGTACTTCATATAAATGGTATGATACAGTATGTGCTCTTGTGTATCTGGTTTCTTTTGCTCAAGATTTTGCAGGATTCATTTATATTGTTGTGTGTCATTGTAGATCATTCATTCTAATTGTTTAGTATTTTATTGTGTGAACATTCTACAGTTTATCCGCTCTTCTGTTGATTGGGTAGCTTCTAGAGTTTGGCCACTAGGAATTATGCTGCAATGAATATCCTTGTCTGTAGTTTTAGTGAACACATTTCTGTTGGGTACATACATAGCTAGGCGTGGGGTTCCTAAGTTGTAGGGTTAGCATCTGCTTTCCTTTAGTGGATACAGCCAAAGCGTTTCCAAAATACACATACACGAGATGTGTACACGTATTACACGTATGAGAGTTCCAGTCAATCTTCTCCTCATCAACACTTGGCATTTTTTGACCTTTTAATTTTATCCATTTTCCATCAGCAAATTTACAACAGCGCCCTTGTGCTACCACTAGATTTTAGTACAACTTGCTACACTCTTCTAACAAGAACATCCCATTTGGTAGACATTATGCTACCAATCTTCTTGTTACTTTCCTGGACCCAATGGTTCAACCATCCCAGAGCAAACTCCAGGTCAATGGAAAGATGGCATAAGAAGAATTCCGCTCAACAGTGGGAGAGGGGCTTCCCTGGTGGCGCAGTGGTTGAGAGTCCGCCTGCCGATGCAGGGGACACGGGTTCGTGCCCCGGTCCGGGAGGATCCCACATGCCGCGGAGCGGCTGGGCCCGTGAACCATGGCCGCTGAGCCTGCGCGTCCGGAGCCTGCGCATCCGGAGCCTGTGCTCCGCAACGGGAGAGGCCACAACAGTGAGAGGCCCGCGTACCGCAAAAAAAAAAAACAGTGGGAGGACTCCTGGAACTCTTGCCTTTACAATGATAACAGTTTACTATGTGTCAGGACCAAATACACATTGTTTACTTATTTATTTATTTTTGGCTGCGCTGGGTCTTCGTTACTGTGTGTGGACTTTCTCTAGTTGTGGAGAGCGGGGCTACTTTTCGTTGCGGTGCGCAGGTTTCTCATTGCAGTGGCTTCTCTTGCTGCGGAGCACGGGCTGTAGGTGCACGGGCATCAGTAGTTGTGGTACATGGGCTTAGTTCCTCCGTGGCATGTGGGAGCTTCCTGGGTCAGGGATGGAACCTATGTCTCCCACATCCGCAGGAGGATTCTTAACCACTGAGCCACCAGGAAAGCCCCCAAATTCACATTTTTTATTTTATTTTATTTTTTGGCTGCATTGGGTCTTCGTTGCTGCTCACGGGCTTTCTCTAGTTGAGGCCAGCAGGGTCTACTCTTCGTTGCGGTGTGCGGGCTTCTCACTGCGGTGGCTTCTCTTGTTGCAGAGCACGGGCTCTAGGTGCTCAGGCTTCAGTAGTTGTGGCGCACAGGCTTAGTTGCTCTGTGGCACGTGGGATCTTCCCGGATCAGGGATGAAACCCGCCTCCCCGCATTGGCAGGTGGATTCTTAACCACTGCACCACCAGGGAAGCCCCCAAATACACATTTTTTAAAATAAAACGTTGAATGCTGAGTATTTGGTCACAGGCAAAAATCACCATCATAGAATGAACTTTAGGGAATAAAAGAATAAATCTGAAATTCTATCAAATTCAAAATTTTTTATTACAATTTAATTTTTTAAATTTAGTACCCAATTTTTTCTTAAGTTTGGGTGTATAATCTTGTAGCAAAGTCAGCTGCAACTTGCTCTTTTGGCTACTCTGCTTTATGATACTAAATGGATGAAGAAGAAACAAGACATATTTGACCAGCTCAGCTGATGGTGACGCTCACCAAACTATCAACCTTTCCTTCCTTGCTAAAAGTAACTGACTAAAGTAGAAGATTTATTGTCTCATCACCTGAGAACCTGGAGGATCTTGTTGATAGTAATGATGGTATATCATTGAAACAAACCCATGAAGTGAAACTCGGTGCACCGCTAGAAAAAGCTACTTTGGGGAATCTTTTCAGGGACCAAAGATCGTTGCTCTCTGCGTCTTTTGAAGTAATGTCAATCATCACCAATCCTAGACGCATTCTACTTTTGCAATATCTTCTTGTTATTACTTGCTGCATAATAAGCCATCCCCAAACTTAGCGGCATAGAACTAACTGTTTGTTATAGGCACTGATTCTATGGGTCAGGAATTTACACAGGGTAAAGCAACGATGGTTTGTTTTTGCTACGCCATGTCTAGCCCTCAACTGGGATGATGTAAGTCGTTAGGGAGTGACTCAAGTGGTTGGGGGGTAGAATCATCTACAAGTTTCTTTACTCCCATGTGTGGTGCCTGGACTGAGATCACTTGAAGGCTGGGCTCAGCTGGGAATCGTTGACTGGAGCACACACATGTGGCTTCTCCGTGTGGCTTGGGCTTCCTCACAGCATGGCAGCCAGAGGATAGTTGAACTTCTTACTTGGATGCTCAAAGATCCAAGGATGAGATTGTCCCAATGAACAAGGAAGAAGTTGCGGGGCTTCCCTGGTGGCGCAGTGGTTGAGAGTCCGCCTGCCGATGCAGGGGACACGGGTTCGTTCCCCGGTCTGGGAAGATCCCACATGCTGCGGAGTGGCTGGGCCCGTGAGCCATGGCCGCTGAGCCTGCGCGTCCGGAGCCTGTGCTCTGCAACGGGAGAGGCCACAACAGTGAGAGGCCCGCGTACCGCCAAAAAAAAAAAAAAAAAAAGGAAGAAGTTGCATGGCCTCCTAGCCTGAGGAGTCACATAGCTTCCCTTCCATGATACTATTGGTTCAATCATTTCCTTTCTACCACACTCTCTATTGGTTAATGCAGTTACAAGTCTGCTCAGATTCAAGAGGAGGGGACATAGATCCCCACCTCTCTGTAGAAGGAATGTTAAAGAATTTATGGCAACGTTTTAAAACCACTGCATAGTGACATACATTCATTCTTCAGCTGATTCATAGAATTTCAACATGTTAAACACTTGAGATTTTAAAATTCTAGTTATGGGCTTCCCTGGTGGCGCAGTGGTTAAGAATCTGCCTGCCAATGCAGGGGACACGGGTTTGAGCCCTGGTCCAGGAAGATCCCACATGCCGTGGAGCAACTAAGCTCGTGTGCCACAACTACTGAGCCTGTGCTCTAGAGTCCTTGAGCCATAACTACTGAGTCCACACGCCACAACTACTGAAGCCCACGCACCTAGAGCCCATGCTCCGCAGCAAGAGAAGCCACCACAATAAGAAGCCTGTGCACCGCAACAAAGACCCAACACAGCCAAAAATAAAATAAATAAATTTTAAAAAATAATAAAACTTTAGTTATAGCTAGAGTGTTTGTCTTTACTGGAATGTGAATATTCAAATTTAGCAATTTGAATGATGTCTAAAATATGATGGCTACTCGGGCAATCAATCACACAAATATTGATCACGCCCAAGTTCAGGGATATCAGAGAGGAAAGTGAAATGGATATCTGGCTACTTGGTCTTGCAAAAGCCAATTCCAAAATGAATCCAAACAACAGATTTTGGTTGAATACCCAGGCCCACTGCATTTTTCATATGTGATCTCCCCTAATCTTCAAAATTTCCAGATCAGGAAAGTTTTTATTGGTATTCCTATTGTGAAGAAGAGGAAGGAGCTCAGAGAGCTCACATTTCTTGTTTAAGATCGCACAGTTAGGAAGCCACATTGATAGATTTATCAGTGAGGGCCTGACAGGAAACATGGCAACTCAACCTGAGTCACTGAGGACTGTTTCATTAACTATTAACAAAGGTGTTACCTGTAGGCAGTGAGTTGAGGAAACCAGCAAGGAAAGGTGAGGCACTATCCCCGGGCTTGAAGGGGGTGGAAAATAGAGAAGTTTCTAGAAACTTCTGGAAATTTCTGGAACAAGGAACTGTAGCTAACCTAGAAGGCTCTCAACAAGAGCTGTGGCTTTTATTAGGGGAACTCAGGGGGACTGAAGCTGCTGTTTCCTCGCGCCCTCTGCTTTCTGTTGTCTCCTAGGAGTCTTGTTGGCTCAACCCAACAGGAAGGCTGAGGGTAAGAAGGGTAGTTGGTGCAGCCATAGAAGTCAGCACCCCCCACCCCCGTCCCGGAGGCCCATGTTGAGTAGAGAAAGGTGGAAAGACCGGGTCCGGGAGGGCAATCAGAGAACATGCAGACCTCGGGCGCGGTGAATAGGTGAACAGTCGCACTCCCACGCGATTCCCCAGGCCCAGGTGCACAGCCCACGCGCTAGCTTGCAACCACCGGTTGCCATGGAGACCGCGGGTACTACGCGAGAGCAAGTGCGCAAGCGCGCCCTGGGATGCCGGCCTCGGCTCAGCGCAGCTGCCTGTACCCAGGCGAGACGCCACCTGACGCGCCCTGTCTGAGCCGGAGCGGACGCTGTCGTCTCGGGCGCTTGGCCCAGAGCATCCGTGCCGGCGTGGCCCGAGCTGGCACCTGGCGAGCCGGCTGCATCCCGGCGGCCTCTCCTTGGCCCGTCTGGGCGGTCAGAGGCGGGGCTGCCGCTTCCCTGACGGGCTGGCCGAGAGCCAGGCCCCGGGGAGGCCGCTCGCGGTTTTCGGCGATTCCAGGACACGTGTGAGCACCCGGGGCCCGGTTTGGGGAGCAAGACCTTGGGAAAGTGCGAGGCCTCCTGCAGGCCAGCCTTGGAGGGGGCAGCTGAGAACTCTGAGCCTGGCCTTGTTCCCGGCAATTTGACCTCCCTCTCCTGTCACCTTACAGGATTGCTGTTTAGGGACCACTGCAGCCCCGGTCCACGTCGTAGACTCTTCAGTACACGTGGGAATCGAGCTGCCAGGTGTCCACGACCATGGCGGTGAACCTGTTGGAGGACTGGTGCCGGGGGATGGAAGTGGACATCCACAGGTGCCTGTTGGTCACAGGTATCCCGGAGGACTGTGGCCAAGTGGAAATTGAGGAGACCTTGAATGGGGTCCTCTCCCCGCTGGGCCCGTACTTTGTGCTCAACAAGATTTTTTTGAGGGAAGAGAATGCCAAAGCTACCCTCATTGAGGTAGGCGAGGGTGTGAATCTGAGGGCCATACCCCGGGAATTCCCTGGAAGGGGGGGCATCTGGAGAGTGGTCTGTAGGGACCCCACCCAGGATGCTGAGCTTTTAAAAAACCTGAGTGAATTCCTGGCTGCAGAGGGGCGCACCTGGGAGGATGTGGTCCGCCTGCTGCAGCTCAGCCAGTCCCCACCACCCCAGAACCGGAATCAGCCCCCAGAGAACTGGGCAGGAGCTCTGGGGGTGCTTCTGGGGGCGGTGGTGCAAATCATCTGGTGCATGGATGGCGAGATCCGCAGCCGGGAGGAAGCTAGGGCTCCAGAGGTTGCTGAGGCCCAAGCAGTGGCATCCTTGGCTTTGGCAACAGTGAGGAAGGTCAAGAAGGAGCCAGGGTGGGCTGCAGAGGTGGGCTCTGCCTTGAAGATGGAGAACCCGGACGGCTGGAATGACGTGGAAGATGAGGGGGACCCTCTTGAACCTCTGGTTCAGAAGGCTGGAGCTAAGACTTGCCCCAGGAGAAAGAAGCAGAAAAAAACTCCCGAGCAGGAACCAGTGCCCTGGAAGAAATCCAGAGGCAACCATTCCCACAGCAGAATATATCAGGAGCAACAGAAAGCCCTGTGTGAAGCAGGAGGGGTCAGCTTTGAAGAAGGCCCTAGCAAAATGTGCCTGGAGGTCTCCCAGCAACCCGCCCCACGATGCCCAGGCAGAAGCTGCGAGCCCTGGAGTTGCCTCTGAGTCAGACCACGATGGCGGTCCAGAGGGTCCACCAAAGAAGAATACCATGGTCTGGGCCTCGGCAAAGAGCCCTGCTCCCACGAGGAAGAAAAAGAAGGTGAGCTTGGGTCCCGTCTCTTATGTCCTTGTCGATTCGGAAGACACCAGGAAGAAGCCAGAGATTCCAAAGAAAGGGCAAGGCTCGAGAAGGGATGCATTGGATCAGAAGGCCCTTCGGAGCCCACAGCACGCTAAGCCACCAGCCTCAACCTCCCAGGGTCCAAAAGCCAAGCCACAAGGCTCTCCTCATGCCTCCAGTGGTGAGAATGACAGCAGAAGTCATTTGGGTTGTGTTAACAAGTGGCTGAAGGGGGAGGAACAGCATGGGCAGGTGGGGACGGAGGAACCCAAGGGGACAGAGGGTCCGATGGTCGTTGAGGAGGACCCCAGTGCAGTGGAGGGAGTGGGTGACACACCAGTTGAGGTTTTAGAGTCTGGGAGCCCTGACCCCCCTCCTAGGAGCCCCTGAGGCCAACATTGGGGATACCTGTGGGGACAGGAGGTGGCAGAGCAAACCCACTGACCTATCTTTTGTTGGTGAGTGTCTCCGTGGTATTCTCCGGTCATCTGACACTTCATCTGATCCATCTTCCTCAGTAAGAATTGAATAATTTGGGGTTATATATTGTTTGTCAGAGTAGGTGGCTTTGAGGGTGGAGTTTTCTGGAGGCCTGTTTGGGAGATGGAAATGTTCAAGGACTTAGAAGTTCCAAGGAAGTGAAAAAACTTTCCAGTGACACCTCTCCCTGCTTCCCCTCTCGAGCTGTTCTAATTTATCCACAGAACCCAGAAAACTTAGATTTCCGTCTGCACCTGAGCAGTCGAGAAAAGACCAAGGAAGAAGTTCCAAGCGGGGAACAACGTTTCTCTTGTCGTTGACTTTTCACTGTTTTAGGGACCCACCCAGTTCGTAGAGATCCAGCTCTCAGAGGTAAATGGTATGTGAGATTTAGGTGGGAGGAATTAGGGTAAGGAGGCGTAACCCTATGCTTTTTCTCTGCCAGGCCTGCTTTTTCACCTCCTCCTAGACTCACCTTCAGAGGTTGGAGAGTCACTAAGCAGATTGGGAAAACTCTAAAACGTTCACCTTGGCACATGGGCAAGGTCACTGTTACGTTCATCCACGTTCGGCCTTTCTCTCCCATCCCCTGCTTCCTTTTCTGGATAATCAGCCAATCTCTGCAGGGCCTGGCATTGTAAAGGGCGGGGCGACCATTCGCTCCTTCTTCCCTTTCTCTGCTTCGACCACAGGGTAGGTTAAGCCAAGATCTTTGCTGCAGACCTGACTTCCTTGCTGCTACTGGTCTGCAATATCCATCCTCCAGTTCTCTAACCAGAGGATGTTAAGGTCCCAAGCATCGGTTTGGGGGAAAAAGATTGTCCACTTAGGCCTTGAAGTGTTTGGTTTTCGGTCCTGTTAATAAAAATGGGACTTGGATTCCCATTTGGGGTGAAACCCTTGCAGGAAGCATGTGGGAGCAATGGGTAGGAAAGGACTCTGGGATTCCTGGCTCCCTGGTTCTAATTCCATCCAATACCCCCAAACTCTTTTTGAGGCTGAAGACCAAATCTCACGTTCTAGGAAGAGAGAGAAAAACATTCTTTAAAACTTGGCTGTGAATTTCTGCCCTCTGACTAGACCAGAATGCCATGTGTCCTGGGTGTGCAGGAGTCGGGGGAGGGGCGGGTTACCTGAGCTCAGTGGTTTCCAGATTGTATCCCGGGGAAGCCCAAGCTGTGCTTAAAGAAGTAATCTGAATCTATTTTTTCATGTATTTTAAAAAAAACAGCAACAACTGAAAGATGACTACTTGAATGTGTCATAAGTCAAACAAGTCACATCAGAGACTATCAAAATATGACCTTGTGTTCACCAGTTAGCTTGTTTTGGTACAGGTATCCAATTCGTTGATTCCACCACCTATTTGCCTATAATTGAATTTCTTGTAAATGTGACTGATAGGAAAAGTTCCAGGTGGGAGAAGTTGGTCCTGCGCATGGCCTGTCATAGAAAACTCCGAAAGAAGTTTCCCTTTGTAATTCACATACTCTTGTCCTGCTGTGATGCTCAATTGTGTGGTGGCAGATGTATCAATACGGCACGCAGTAATTCATATTCTATCAGAGAGAGCTTTAGGGTCTCTCTTCTGGCTTCAGTTTTTGTGATAAAGAATGTGAACAGTTGTTAGATGTTGTTGGTGATTCAACTTTGAAAACAGATTTCTTGTTGACGATTCATTTCAAAAGCCTGGATGAGTCTGAGGATGCAGGAAGAAAGGAGGTGGTTTCCGTTTGTAGCTCTTCACCTGTGTGCGTCATGGTTTTCCTTGGGTCTGAGCAAATCAAAACAGAGGAGTGAGTTGGCCATTCGAGGTGACAAAAGCCTCCAGCTCTCCCGCTCCTAATTTCAGAATCAGGTCCACTAGGGCTTCGTTGTGTTAACAAATTGACACCATGATTAGTAAATGTAAATGTATATGCTGTAAAATAAAGTTTAGCAAACTGAGTATCTGTTGAGTCTCTTATAGGTGCCGGTGGTATGGACTGTTTAATTGGAGAAAAGCGTTCCCCCCCACTGAACAATACACACTGTCCTAGACACCCAGCCCAGCTGTTGCAGACCTGGGTTCAAGCTGGAAGGGTCGTCAATTTCCTGTGAGAGAAGAAGTCATCAAGATGCCTCTCATTGCTACATGGCCTGCCACCAACGTGAAAGCCTTCCCCAGAGAGTCTGCATTTTTTAGAAGTTTCTAGAACAGGTACCTGGTGTTGTGAATTAACCTGAGAAGGCGAGTTTATTTTTAAAAGCAGCTTCCCCTCAGACAGAAGCTGAGGTTTTTCAACAAAAAATCGAGTTAAGTTTCCTCCTGACCAAGCCCCTCCCCTGCTTGGGACGCCTGAACCAGGGGGCCACCGCATCAGAGTCACCTCATGCACAAGAGACCAAAGGGGAAGCTGGACTTCGAGGACGGGGGAGCTAATTAGGCACTGGAGTGTGCACACATAAAAACCCAGGTCAGAGGTCAATTTATTGGGTCCTTTTCTTCGCCCCTCTATGGGAAAAGCCACGTTTGGCCAAGATCTTTATGCACCTCCCATGACCAGCCACTCCCTCCAGTTTGCACCCAGTCTGTCAGGAAAGGCTGGAAGTGGGGGAACATGGCCGGAAGTGGGAGGAGATCCAGTTGCCTTGAGTGGGGCCTGCTCTTCATTGCGGTGCGCCGGCTTCTCGTTGCGGTGGCTTCTCTTGTTGTGGAGCATGAGCTCTAGGTGCGCGGGCTTCGGTAGTTGTGGCACGTGGACTCAGTAGTTGTGGCTCGCGGGCTCCAGAGCGCAGGCTCAGCAGTTGTGGCGCACGGGCTTAGTTGCTCTGCGGCATGTGTGATCTTCCCAGACCAGGGCTTGAACCCGCGTCCCCTGCATTGGCAGGCGGATTCTCAACCACTGAGCCACCAGGGAAGTCCCTGGGCATCTGTTTAAAGGACAGGTTTCCCATGGCCAGGCCGTTGACCATCACTCATGAGTCAGTAAAAACCAAAGCGGATTTTACCACTTTAATTCTTCCACCACCGTTGGGAAAACAGCATGCACTTCAGCCCACCGAGCTGATTTGTTTTTACGTCCTTCCACTCTCTTCTGGAGTTCCCTACTAGTAGGATGTAAACTACTAGATGTAAAAGACCAGTAGATAAGGGCTTCCCTGGTGGCGCAGTGGTTGAGAGTCCGCCTGCCGATGCAGGGGACACGGGTTCGTGCCCCGGTCCGGGAAGATCCCACATGCCACGGAGTGGCTGGGCCCGTGGGCCATGGCTGCTGAGCCTGCACGTCCGGAGCCTGTGCTCCGCAACAGGAGAGACCACAACAGTGAGAGGCCCGCGTACTGCAAAAAAAAACCCAAAACAGACCAGTAGATGCTGATGGAGGTCATCTTGCCACCATGTATCAGGAAGTGCAAAGGCCCTGAGGCAGGAGGATTTCTTGTGTCGGGGAGGCCAGTGCAGCTGGAACAGAGTGAGCAGGAGGGGAAATAGGAGGTGAGGTCAGAGTGGGTAGACTTTCTGAACCCAAGGCAATACAGAGGAAAGCAGATGCAGAAGAGAGAAAGAGAGAATATTGTTTGTATTAAGTGAGAGCCTGGCTCCAGCCTTGCCTGAAAGCCAGACTCTTGGACTTTGGGGTTACATGAATCAATAAATACCTTACTTTTTCTTTTCTTTCTCTTGCCTTTGCCTATCCTCTCCTCCCCCAGCAATCTGAATTAGCTTATTTCACGCCTGACAGTTTCCTGATTAATGAAACTACGAAAAGGAATACAATGAAAACTGAATCACCCATCCACCCTAGATTCCAGAGTTTAGTGGTTTCTTTTGTGTCCTTCCAGAGATGCTCTATGTAGATGAAAGATTTACAGCATTTATATGCAGATATATTTTCATCCTCTTTTTCACTCAAATGTAAGAATACTAGGCACATTTTTCTGGACCTTGTTATTTCACCTAATATATCTTAGAGAATGTTCTAGTTTTCATCATCTGGCTGCCTAGTGTCTGGGTTAATGGCTTCAGGTACGTTTGTATCCAGCTGCTCAAAGACAAGTCTCAGGAATCTGGCTCCCCTGCCACTCTAAGCTCTTTCCTGTGTGTTGGTTTCCTTCTCAGGCCAGCCTCTCCATGGCAACAAAGGTAGCTACCAGCAGTGTAAAGCTATTTGATCCTGAAAGCTCCCAGTAAAAATGGGTGTGTTTTCCGATGGTTCCAGATACTGTCTCAGGGAAGACTTCTGATAGTCCCCCCACCCCCCATAACATGTCTAGCTCCAAACCAGAGTGGCTATGGGAACATAGTGCCCTGATTGGCCAGCCTGGGTCACATATCCCTGTGACAGTGGGTGTAGGCCCTTTGATAGACAGCCAGCCCCTCCAGATATCAGTGGAAGAAGGGAGGGACCGGTTTTCAAGAGGGATGCAGAGAGGACAAAATAGATACCGAATGACTCCTATAGAGGTTCAGGACAAATCTTTAGTTGTCCAGCTCAGAGTAAAGCCTTGGAGAGACCCTATAGGGCAGGCCACAGGATGGGCCTGGGGGAGACACAGCCTAGGGGAGTGGGTAAGGGAGACAACTCGCTTGAGTTTGAATCCCAGCTCCACTCTCTGACTGTGTGACCTCGGGCAGGTCCCTTCCCCTTCATTTCTTTATCTGTAAAATGGGGCTTATCAACTTCACAGAGTCCTCCCAAGGTGGGAGACTCTACAGTAATGGGTAAGGCTGTTGGGTCTTTAAAATCCTTTATGATAAGTACCATAACTAGAAGGTAAGTAAGAAATATTTTAAACGGGGGGTGTCTTTGGGGAGAGGGATGAGAAGGTGATGGGGAGAGAAGAATTTCTTTTTCACTTTGTTCCTTTTTTGTACCTTTTGCGTTTTTGGCCTTGCCCATGAATTCTTTTTACTTCTGTAAAATGTCAGT